ACACACTTACTTTGTCCAATATGGGTCATGTGTATTATGTATGTGTATTAAATGCAGTCAGCTCAGTGCTGACTGCATTTAATCAACTTCATAGTTGATTTCTAGTACTGAGCACATGGTGCTTCTGGCAGCAGTTTAATGATAGACAATGTACTTAGTGAGATTTCCTTCTTTGAGATTATAAGACAATGTATACATTATCCGATAATTATAAGTAGTAGAAATTTAATTAAAATTGCTTATTCAAATAGGTTAATAATAAAATAAATACTTTTATTTTAATTGTCCTTCCCTTTCATTGTGTTGAGATTGTCCAGTGCCTGAGGTCACAGCAGTTCTCCCTGCCAACCCTTCCTGTTGTCTTCTATTGCCCTACACTTTTCTCTTTTGTTCAGATCCCAGGAAGTAGAGAAGTCTCAGTGCAGCATGGAAGGTTTGGTGCTAGATATGGGAACAGAGCTCCTGAGCAGACCTTAGTCTGCATATCTGGCCCTGGAAACTGTAGAAAGGGCGGGGCTTCTTGTATTATCATGACAGGGTTTCCTGCAGGCACCCCAATACTGTGATTCATGATCATTATGCAAAAGCTAGCCAATACTATACTGCCTTCTTATGGCTGCTCAGAGAGATCTCCTTTCCCCCTTGGGTCAGAGATCTGGTCTTCAACCTCCTTCATCTCCTATTGCCATCACTGTATCCCTCCAGCCTATCCCACAACCCTTGACTCCCTGTGCCTCCCTCTCCCTGTTCTTCTGATGGGGACTCTGCTGCTCCTCTCAGTTCACATCTTCACAGTATACAATCTAGCCACTGAATCAGTGGTAGCGATTTTGTTTATGAGCACTGTTTTTTAGTGAATAGCTTCGTTTTTATATGTTTGTAGACTGTAGTGGTTAACAGGGATCTTTGAAAACTTTTCCATGGAAAACTGCAGAAAAACAAGGAATTTGCCATTTTGCACCCTGCTGTAGCTGATTGACCATGGGGCCCCTGTACTTTGTCTCTGGTTGGCAAGAGTCAAAAGCTATGTTTCTGCTGTGGTTTTTGCCTCTTGGTGATCGGCGGCAAGGGAAAGCCAAGATGCATATATTTATTTACTGAGGGCCCAATATTGAAAAATGACTTCAGTAGGGCTCCTTTTGGACACAATATGGTTCCTTTTTGAAACAGAAGAGAAATCCTTACTCAAGCCCTTGAATCAGCTTTAATGCAGTTCTTCTAGTTGCCTTTCTCTTTTCAAAAAATCTCTTTTTTGGAATTCCTTAGTAATTTTATTAGTGGCTTCCAAAATCTCAAACTATTGTATTCCATGAAAACTAAGTACTAAAACATCACAGTTATCTATTATATGAAATTTGATTATATAAACTTGTTTTGTGATATGTTGGTCCACTTGATCCAAAGCTGTATAGAACTTAAAAGCATATTTAAGCAAATCCCAGACATTTTCTAGGTGTTTGTATGTCTGCTGCCTTGCCCAAGTTGTGTCCACACAATCACCAGTATTTATCTTTCATAAAAAAATAAGGAAACTGACTTACTTTTTAAACCAAACCGTTTTTATTAACAACAATATGGATTCAACTTTGTCATGAAGTTACAATTAACATTATAATGTAACGGCTAAAGCCATTGCAGCGTCAGTGGAAGTGTCCCTTATACTTTTCATAACCATTATAAAACCAACATTTTAATACTGCCACATAAGACATTGGCCAATAGAAGTGTCTCAGAACACTTTCAATGCTTGGTATCTATGAAAGTGTCCCATGTTATTCTGAATAAATGAATGGGAAAGATCTCATGCACTTCCTTTGACACTGCTGGATTTGATTCAGATTTTAAAAACGGATGAATCTTTTTAGACAATGATAATAACTTGTGTGATGTTGCAATCCATTTTAATTAAATCAATTAACACACTTAAAATGTGAAGCAGAAATAGCTGGGCCAAATTCTTTCCTGATTGATCTCTCATTCAACACCAATGAACCCAATGGGATTACACAAGGTATGAACCAGGAAAAAATTTGGTCCAGTGGGACAAGTTCACTCCTGGATGGATGTAATTCCACTGAGGTGGATGGAGCTGAGCCTGATTTACTCTGAAAAAGGCTGACTTTAGCTCAGTTGGGCTGTCACTCCATTGAAGTCAGTGAAACCACACAAGGACTGAATTTGGCCTCAGACATTTAATCACTTTTTTCATTCCTTTGCTCTTGCATTTTCTTTCCCTGCTAAATTCTCTTTTCTGATTATTCTACTTTTCTCTGTGCTTTTTAAAAAGATTCCCTTCTTTTCATCCTTTTGTATCTTAGTACGTTGTGCGTTACTTTTTATATAGTCAATGTGACATATGGGTTAATTCAGCTAAGCATTAGTTTCCTCAGGAAATAACTGGAATATTATCATTTTCACTTTAAACAGATGCCCAACAAAATGAAGGTTTGAATCTGGACTCCTATCTCAAGCAAAACTCTTGTAGAAGTCAATGGGGTTTTTGCTTGAGTAGAGACTGCAGGTCCAGACCCATAAATAGTATTGTATAGTAGATGTCCTACAATACATCAATAATTCAGTATGACTCGACTTATCACAGAAGGTGTATGGGTAGATTGCCTATCACCATACTGTAATGACAGCTGTCACTTTAAATAGGATTATCTTTAAAACATACGTTTTATAACTGTGGGCATTGTGAATAAAAGTGTATGATCTTTGCAATCTTGAACTCTACGCTAAAACACTATATTCATATTTAAATAAAACTATAGATCATATGAGCCAGGAGCAAATACAAATTTTTAAATGTATATTCATCATCAAAAACTATTCTTTTCAGTTCTCTCTTCAGTCAGGTACAACAAACATACTAATCAGAAAACAGTTCTTTGTGTAAAGCCAAATCCTGAAGCTCTTACTCAGGGCCAAATTCTGTCCCGTGCAGTCTTCCAACAGATTGTACATCAAGGCAGAATTTGTTCATTACTTACTACTCATGAAAAATTCCTATTACCTACAATGAATTTTGAATTAGTGCCAGTAAGTAGCTCAGGACAAGACTTTTAAGGCCAAACCTGGTCCCACGGAAATCAATAAATTATTGATTTCCATGGAAGCAATGTAGTTCCTATTGTTGTAATTAAAGGTATACTTTGGACACAGGAAACTTCTGATGAGGAAATGTAAAATCAAAACAAACAAGTCTCTCCAGACCTCCACAAGTTTGTATATTATTGTCTCAATTTTCTATCAATAATTTTCATACATTTACTATACAATTAGAAATTGCTCAAAAATGTAAAGGTGAGAATAAAAGAAAAAAGGGACTTTCAACTGTAACGTAAAATGATAAGGTCTTGCTAATTTATTTGTACTCTGTAAAGACATTTACATTTTCATACATAATTTATAGAGTTCATTTATGCGCACAAAATTGTATTAAATAAATTAACTTAAAATCAGAAGGACTCAAGCATTTAAGGCAAAGATACATTCTGGGAGAGAAATTATCAGTAAAAACCCAGGCTCTGAATCTGCAACTGCACTTGCAGGCTGAGTCTGTACACCTATGACATTTCATCATCTTCAGGCAGTAGATGTCAGGGTCTGCTCTTGCAGGTGCAGTTGCAAGATAGGGCCCAGTTCATGATGATCTGATGAAAAAGGGAGGTCAAGCTAATTACTGACACATTAGTTGCCTGTGCCCAAGCTCTTGCCCCTATGTTGGACCTAAATGCAGCCTTATATCTATAACATTGTGAGATTTCACTTAAAAGGCAAAAAGGCACCATAAAACATTAGATAAAAGAAAAGAAAAATTCTAAAAACCATATCGTTTTTAGATACCATACTATACTTTAAATTTACAGATTTGGCCAGACAAACTGCAGACATTCAATTAAATTAATATTTAAATGATCTGAGATGTGGAAAAAACTATTTATCTTCACAAAAATATCTTAGCAATCAAGCTTTAATATGATCAGACAGCACATTGAAGAAGGTAATAAAGGTCAAAGGCGATAAATTATATGGCAAATCAGTGATAGCTAATTGTGCTTCAAGATGTCTTTCAGTAATTACCAGCTGAGCTTTGTTCCAGCCTAAATCCTAGAACACAGCTTATCATCCACAGAACCCCTAGCAATAACACAATATATACACTCTAAAGTTTGCATGTATTTCACATAATAAGGTTATCATGTAACATCCAGGAATATTTCTGTAAAGGAAATATGGAGGCAGAAACTACAATGGATTCATAGTAAACAGTTCAAGTCCTTCACAATACAATCTGTAGCATTTAGCCATGGTTAAGACGATAGTGACATTTTTGATAGATAATAAATCCTCATCTGGTTTGGGCCTTGAACAAACAGTGCCCTGAGAGAGCTGGAACTGGCATCCCTGTGCATTTGGAGCTTCTGCTGCTAGAGGGAATTCAGCCCAGGCCAGACTACCCAAGGGTCCACTGTGCATGTAGCTTATAATAGAGGCAGGGGGCAACAAACAAAAAACTTTTTTCATGGGGCAGTTTTTAGGCTACCAAAGGGTTCCAGTGGCAAAGCCCCAGTAAGGACATATAGGCACTAGTACTGCTGCTGAATCTCAGCAGAAGCAAAATATAGGAAGGACATGAAAGGAAGAGATGTCCAGGGAGAATGCAAATTTGCTGTGGGTTTTGAATCTAAAAACTGGGTGGGAGAAGGTACGGGGGAGGAGTCTGAGTGTTCTTTCTGGAACATTTATAAAAATGGATCCAATGTTTCTTTGTCTCTTACTCCCCTCTCTAGCTAATTTAGTCAATTCAATCTCATTTCCTAATTCCTGGCATGGGTTTTTTGGGGAAGAAGCATTAGCTGTCTGTGACTGACAGACTGGAATTCAAAAATCTTTTTCCTCTGTCTATACCTCCCTTCATTATTTATTTTCTTTCCCTCCATTTAAATCCATATTTTCTTTCCCTTCTTATTGTCTCTCTCTCTCTCTCCTTCTCCTCACCTTCAGTATAGTCTGCCTGTCTGTCTCGCTTTCTCTTTTCCTTCTCCCTTACCGGCCTCCCTCCCCTGGCTTTCAATTCCCCATATGTTGTCACTTTCTTGTCATTCCCAGACTTCTGAAGTACTATTAAGCAGCATCAGGTTGCAATTGTGAGTACTTGTGCCACTTTCAGGGCAGAAGGAGGTATTGCTTCTATGATAACAGCAGTACCTAGTCCTCTTCTGTAGATACTACTATTGTCAAAATGCTTCACATCCACCAGCTGGCACATGAGTAAGACTGGAATAAGGAAAGCTGCCCCTGAATTTTTTATACAATTGCCTAGATCATCCACCTTTAAGGCTGGCCCTGATCCTTAGAATTTATACATTTCATAGCAAAAGAATGTTCTTCTTATAAAGAACAACTTGAAAGTGGTGTGCAAATTACTTTTGCCACAACACTAAATCACCAAAAAATATACAGAAATTAACATTCTATGTCTCAGAGCATTAAAATAACTGATTAATGATGAGTTAATGTGTATATCTTGCAACTAGCAGCCATTTCTAATCCCATATTACTGGTTTCCTTGGTACCTTGCTAGCAGCTGTAGATAATATTCTTGTTGTAAACATAAACTATTATCTAATTCAGGACATACATATTTTTAATCCAGAAGCAAAGTGCTTTAAGTCTTATGGTTTTGTTTTTTTTACTTCTGCACTGTAGAAACAGCACTATTTCTAAATGCTCAGATCTTTGCTTTTTGATAAATCCTGCAGCATTAGCTTTGTATATTACTCATTATTTAAACCTACTGTACTACATGAAAGTGTTGATGTACTGTAGGTATAAATTTGAATTTTAGCCATCATTTACACATGCATTTTCATGCAGCTAGAAGATATGGGCTCATACAACTGCCTTTCAGATTCTTCCTGATTCTTGCAAGTTTATCATATTAAAAAGGCTTTCAAAATAGTTCATGCTATGATATGTATGACTAAAGGAATTACTCAGCCAGTGAAGAAAACCCATAAGTTGTTATTTAAGTTTGACATGAGGCAGGCTGAGTGAATCTGTACCATCCCCTGGCTTGAAAATGCTTTGAGATGATCTTGATATTCCAGTCCTTAGAGAGTCAGTGGAGAGAGTTGTTTCCACTAAGGGGTGAGAGATGGCTTCAGTAGTCTCTGTTTCTGCCTCTACTTCCAACTCTTCATCTGTTATAAATAATTTGGACTCTCTCCATTTGGAGTATACTTCTTGGCTACCTCTTGAACCACTGGGGTCACTACCAGCAATCTGTACATTCAGTTCTTCTGTTGACTGTATAAGGTTTTGCACAGATAATGATTTTCCTAAATCCATTTGCGCTGTTTTAACGGAGCCCAAAGGTTCTCCTTCGGTATCAAGGCTTTTTCTCCATGAAAGATTCTTTGTCACACTGGTCTGTGCAACTTGTCCATTATCCTTTGATGCAACAAGGCAAGCGGTGACATCAGAAATATTTTCCTGTGTGGTCACAGGGATAATATGAATAGGTTCAGGTCTGCTGATATGCTTGACTGAAGAAAAAGGTGGTATTTGTAAGGTGGTTGGAGTTGTTGGCTTACTGGCCTGATTTATTTGGTTTGATATATTATTAGCTATTACTGCTGCAGGTCCATCATTTGGCACTTGCGTTGCTTGACTATGCATAGCTGGACTAAAAGCATAGTAAGCCTGAGTGCTAAATTCATTTGGTGTCAGTATAAGTTGTAGGCCACGTGGCATGTTGGCACTAGCTGATCTGGATACACATCCACTAATTCGTGAAGAATTAGATAAATCCTTGCTGTCCACAGGACTTTGATAATCAGAGGTCTGCTCACATTCAAAAGCGGGCATTTGAAATGAAGCCAAAGTGAGTGCTGATGCAGATCCTTTCCTTAAAACCTGTTGATAGATATCTAATAGACTGTCTAGTTTTGACTCTATGGATTGTACCTGCAGGTTGGGAAAAAAGGTTGAGTACAAAATATTACTTAAAATTGTATGTCCAGAATTTCTTTAAACCTAAGCAAATAAAAGGAATGTAACAACCCCTTGAATATAAGCAAATGATCCTTTGTTTCTCTCTAAAGAATAGCTAGTTAGTCTTCAGAACTAACACAGTATTTTAACAGACTGTTCAGCAGCAAGGTAATGTGTTATTTATTAAAAGATGCAGATTCCAGTAACATCAGGGTTTTTTTTCCCATTTCTACATTTCTGCATACAAAGCAAATGTAAGGTAATAGAATTTGCTGATGTTTTATTTTTAGGACTAAGATGGTGCAGATGCCAGAAAAAACTGATTTTACTTTTCACTGAAATCTGAAACTTCTGTTATTAACTATTAAAAAATGTATCCTATACAATAAAACAAAATCATAGTCACAACAGTCACTCTACCTGTTTCTCCACCTTGACAACACGCCCTAACATACTAAGGTCATCAGTTGTCTCATTCTCCACAGTATTCTTTTCTCGACTTTTCTTATCTGTTGTGATTTGTCCTTTTCCAAGAATTTGGTCAACACTGTGAGAGAAACCAGAAATGGTCATAATGACAGCCATATAAGTTGGTGTAAAAATGCTTAAGAAGGATGAAGTGGAATAAAGTACATGGAATGAAGTTTACAATACTTAGGGAGTATAGAATATGAACCTGTGTAGCAATGAATTCATACTTACTGTTATTTGTTAGATATGTTAAATATCTAATACATGATATAACAGATACACATTTGTGATGGATATTTTAGTCATAAGTTATTGGTACAATCTTGTAGGCACTTACTACTGGGTGCACTGCTAGCTACCAGGAATAGTCCCATTGGCCAAATATAGCTATTCATGTTTCAGGGGTCCTAAATTTGTATCTCATTAGTAAGCTAAGGAAATACACGCTAGATGAAAGTACTGTAAGGTGGATACACAATTAGATGGATCACTGTGCTCAATAAATAGTCATGGCTCAATAAATGGCTCAGTGGAAGGAAGTATTGAGTAGGGGTCTATTCTGGCTCTGGTATTATTTAATATCTTCATTAATGATTTGGAGGATGGGATACAGTTCATGCTTAGCAGATCTGCAGATGACACCAAACTAAGGGGAGTTGCAGTCACTCTCTAGAGGGTAGGGCTAGCATTCTGAATAACCTGATAAACTGGAGAAATGGTCTAAAAATGTCCAAAATCAATCAAATGAAATGGAACAAAGACAAGTATAAAATCCTACACTTTGTTAGGATGGAATAAAGGTCTTAAATTGTAGCAGGGGAAAGTACCAGGAAGGTTAGATTGGTTAAAAAATGGCTGACCCTATCTATGGCAAGATTGATGTAACTGAACTTCTGTACCCATTCCAAGTGTAGCCCCTGGGCTGGGAAATCCTTTTCCTACCTGCCCAGTACCAGGCTATTTGAGTCCTTACCCAGCCCCTTGCCCCAACCCCTTCTCCCATCCCCAAATGGACAAGCCCCCACACTTGCAGACCAGCCAGCCCCATGCCCAAACCTGCCAAACCCTCCAATTCCACAAGCTGTTCCTGATGCTAGTTTTACCAGCATTCACTGGTGCCAAGAGCTAATTGAAGCAAGCAGGGGTAGGGGTAGGGGTGGCCAGGGTCTTGGGCAGTTGGTTTGACAGGGAAGTGTTGTTCATCTGTGGGTGAAGAGTTTGGGGAGCTAAAAATAGCCACTTGTCAGGGGGAAAGAACTCCCTCAATCCTCTAAAGCCTCCCCATTGAGCTGCCAGCCCCCACAATCCCATCACCCCTGCTAATGCCCCTGATCTGCCCGCCCCTCCCCACAACCTAACTTAAATCAGGCTCTTGGGATTGGTGATCCAGTAAAACTGGCTTTGGGATTAGTTTGTGGATTGGGGGCAGTTGGGCAGCAACAGGGGGGTAAGTGGTGGGGATCCTGGGAGGTTTAGTGGGATCAGAAAGACTCTCTGATCCTGCCAGTCCCCACCCCTGACCTTCCAGGGTCTCCCACGGACCCAGCTACCTCTCCTGATTCCCCCCCAAGCCTCCAGATAGACCCCGTTAGCTGCCTAATCCCCCCAAATACCTCTGCTAGTCCCCCCATCCCACCTGGTCCTCCCTCTATTCCAACTTAACCTTAGCTCAGGCTCCCAGCATCTATCTAATTACTATGTTCAGGGGTCCATTCTTAACCTGATCTAACCCCTCCAAACTTCTGGCTGTAATGTCTGTAAGCAGCCTTAGTTTGGTTTTGGGTTGAGGCAATATTTCCTTTACTAGCCAACTGCCCGTGAAGAATGATGGGGTGGGGGGAGTGGGCGGGGATGGAGCCCCATGCCCCTCCCCTATCCAGGCCCACTCCCCCTTGCCTCCTGATGCTTGG